CTATCGAATAAGTCAAGTGATGCATTGATTGTACAAGAGAGTTGATTCATATCTAAATCATGCTGAATACCAAGAATGAAGTCAAACTTGCTTATGGTATCATCTTCACTAATCTTGATCGAAATAGGCATCACAGAGAGATGACTGTCACCTATAATCATGTCTTTGCCGAGATCTTGTGATGAATATCGCATAAACTCGAATGATGTATCAAGAAATGCAGTTTTCGAAGCATATGGATGTTGATCAAGGAGACGTTGAAGAGGAAAATAAGAGTATTTGCGACTGTTTATTAGTATCTCTTGAACATGTTTAACAAGTTTATGTAGAAACCATTGTGGATCTAGTTGACATCGTAAGGGAATAGCATTGACAAACATACCAATCACTGATCTAAGTTCATCTCTGTATCGACCATCTACATTCATTCCAAAGCATAGATCTGTGTCTCCATTCGTTAGTTTAAATAGAAAGACAAAATACATAGTCAATGCTAGATGTTCAAGTGAGATGTTTTGCGAAGATGTGTAGTCGAGGAAAGTGTCACAAAGATCTCGATCTAAATTGAATGAAATAGATGTTCCAAAACCAGATCGATATTCATTTGTAGGTCGATATCGATCATATGGCAATGAGAGAGATTGATCGAGTTTGTAATCATGCAGAGCATCATGCCAGAACATGCTTGCACCAATCATGGATATGTGTTGTTCAATGACAGCATCTAAAGAAGAGAGAAAGACATGATATGATTACAAAGAGAGAAGTATGAATACTTACAATCGAGATAGCGAAGTCTATTGTTGGTGTTGTCATCATTGGGCAGCTGGCTTGTAGTGTATGCTTGATGAAGATCATGGAGAAATATCTTTATCGATGGACAGTCAAACGAGGCATGATGAAAGTTGAAGATGATGATATCGTTATTGGAGATAAGATCATTGGTACAAACTTGTTTATAACGAACAATATGACATCGGAAGACAAGACCCTGAGCAAGATCGAAAACATGTGGGTTATGTGTCTCATTGTGGATAATTTCATACAATTGTTCATCTGTTTCATAAACGCTTTCGACTATAGAAAACCGATTGTTTTCATGATTTTGTTGGTCAACAATTCGTTGTGTAAGAATGTTTTTTGTAGTATCAAAAATTAGTGCTGTTCTTAGAAATTGATGCTTGTCAACAACAAGATCGAGTGCGTAACGAAGCCGCTGAAGAGACAAGGTATGATCAACTGAAAGACGATAGCAGAATACCATATTGTATGTTGTCAATTGTGGTCCATCCACATGTAATCGACGTTCTTCATCATGCCATATTTGGTGTTGAGCATGTGAAGCTGGTTCTATGATAGTCAGACATTATTCTTACAGTTAAATACTCAAATCTCTCACAAATAGCAATACGTTGCTGTTGTATCGAAATAGTTCTCCAATATTAAATTACTTCCACACAGAATTCTTTTGTTAAAATGATGTGTCTCAAACTGATAACATTCTTCTATCAAACTTACTATTTTTATGCTCGAAGGGGTTTAAACTGATTTCTACAAGTTACTCATTATGTACGAGTTTTAATTCATGCAGATATGCAAAGAGGAATTAGAAACGAGTTTTCTTCGAAACACTTACTTAATTCGGAGAAATGCCGTAGTGATTCGATGACATTTGATAAAGCTTCAACGTTCATCGGTAAAAGAGAAAGGTTTCCAATTTTTTCAAAAAGTGGGTCAAATCCAATGGTTTTCGTATTTTCAGTGAAGATATGTGAAAGTAGATTCTGAAAATATCGACCAATGTTGGATACCATCACTTCATCATAACAATCAGCACTACATTCAAAAATACAATAAGTCGTTTGGCTGGACTGATTATGAATCATTTTCAAATTCATATCATGAGAAGCAATACCATTGCCATGTAGCCAAGGCTGTTCCGTATATAAACTTAATGTTGCATCATTTGTCTTGGCTATCGATTTCATTTCACTAGTTGAAGAAGAGTGAATTTCTTCATATTGAAAATGAAATGGAATCTTGCTTGAAAATAACTCCTTATTACCCTTGATGATCTGTTGATAAGGTAGTTGACAGTGATTAAGAATGTCCATGTCCAGTTGACAAATTTGCTGCACCAAGTTAATAAAACTTTCATTTGCATTAATTTTGATACGATATGGTAATA